TTACTTTTGCTTTCTCTTTATTAGTAAGTAACGAAAACGAAAAGAAAAAGAAAAAGAAAGAAAGAAAAGGGGAAGAGGAGCCAGGTCTTGCTGGACCTCCTGCAGCTGTTTCTGGGCTGGGGGAAGGCAGGCCTCGCTGCACCCCCTGCACTGTGCAGCTGCAGGGAAATTGCTCCACGCTCTGGAGGAGGATTTTTCTCCTTCCAAGTCTGGAGCCCAGAGCCCGGGGTGCTTCTTGGGCAGAGGTAACAGCCTGGGTTGCAGAATGCGATCCCAGGGCCCTGGGTACTGGAGCAAGAGGGGATAGGCGCTGAGTCCCCAGGAGCTGTGGATGCGGTGCCCTATCTGGTCACCTCTCTGCCCCACTGCCTGGGGGCTGGCTGCTTAGCTGCTTCCTGGGAGGGGCCTAAGCCTTGCCCCAGGGGCTGGCAAGAGTGGATGTCCTGTTGAGGGAGAGAATGAAGGAACAGGGGGTGAGAGGATTCCTGGGCCTGGAGGATGTGGCTGAGGGCTCTGGGGAGGAACAGGAGAGCCCGGGTCCCCCGACTGTCCCCACCTGGGGTGAGCCTGGGTGAAAGCAGGCTGCCCTGGGGTGGGGGTGGGGCTTTTCTTTCGGCCTTCCCTGAACCACCAGGGTAGGCACAGCCCATGAGTTGGGGTGCCATGAAGGCAGGGGATCTGGGGGCTGCTTGGAGCGAGGGGAGAGGATTTATTTAGATCGATGGAATGGAGAGAGCCACCCCGTGGGGTTCAAGGAGGGTGCTGGGGGAAGAAGAAGCTGAGCACAGGTGTAGTGATTGCGCTGTGTGTAAACCCAAGTCCCCCGGAGCATCAGGGAGACACCTCAGGTGGAAAACCAGGCTGACCGACTCCCCAGCCTGTCCCTTAGTGCCTGTAGGTCTCCATGGCCCAGCCTCAAACAAGCTCCCTGGATCGTCTGTGCTGATGGAGGGAGCCGGAAGTGGACAATCCCAGGCAGTGGAGGACAGAAAAACGAGGTCCTTTTGGCAATGATCTGTCATTTGAGGGTGGGATTTACAAGTCCAAAGTATTTTCAATTCCTGGCTTTCAGGCAAGGCAGCAGCCCCCAGAGCTAAGTCAGAGCAGAGTTCAAATCTGCCTCTGTGCTTCAGCTGTATGGCCAGGCTGCAGCCTCCCTGTCCCCTAGGATGAAGCTGGGTGGAGTGCGGGGCTGCAGCCCCCAGCCTCCCTCCATTGCATCGCTCTGCTTGCTTCCTCCTCTGCCCTGCCTCCCAGGTGTTTTCAGATCTCCACCCTGCAGTGTAAGCTGTATGATCAGAGGCTCTGCCCTCCTCACAGCTGCATCCCAGCATCTAAACGGTGCCAGGCACATAGTAGGTGCTCAGCAAACATTTGTTGACTCAGTGAAGGAAAGGCAGTGGTAGCATGTTGGGCAGGGAGTGTCATGGGACACGTGGTGTCTGGGGAAGCATGCAGTGGGCCTGGCACCCAGCAGGCCTTCCCTGCCACCCGTGTGGCCAGCAGTGCTGTCTCCTTGTGCCCCTCCTGGGCTGGTTGCTCTCTCTTCCGATCTTGCTTCCCAACTAGACTGAGCTCCCAAGGAAGGGGTTTTATTTGCTATTGTTTCTTAAGGACTGAATATGCCAGGAACTGAGCAGGGCACTTCTCGAATGAGTGAATGAATGAATGAACACGCAGAGCTGGCCCTGCCCTTGGGGAGTGCAGCTGGAGGCAGACACGGGCACTAACACATCGGCTGGACCTGGAGAACAATGGGAAAGGTCACAAAACCACACAGGGAAAGGGCGCAGAGACCACAAAATACAACAGGAAACCCGTATCAAGTTTCGATAGTGGAGTCTCCTTATCACGTTCAAGTCAGGGCAGCTGCCTGGAGCCTGGGGGCGGTGCAGGGTTCCAGCGGTCAGGGGAGGCCTGGCCAGGAAAGAGCCTGTCCTCAGGCAAAGGTAGGATTTCAGGAGCCAGATTGAGGAGGGGTGGGCAGCCCCATGTGGGGCTGGGCACTCACTGCAGGGTCCCAGTGAGGGTGGGGGTGGGAATTAGGGAGCTGGGAGAGGTGGGTGGGCTGGTGGGGCCCAGGGGGGTACAGGGATGTTCCAGCACTCACTGCAGGGGTTAGACTTGGGGTCTTCCCAGAGGTGGTGGGGAGCTGCAAGAGATGGGGGTTAACAGAGACCCAGTAACTGGGGTCTCTCCTTTCTCTTCCTGAGAGAGGCTGTGGACACAGACTTGGTTACAGCCCCACTTACTGCCTGTGTGACCTCTGTCAGGCTACTCAGCACCTCTGAGCCTGTTTCCTCATCTGTGAAATGCCTGCCCCAGGGCATGTGAGGATTTATTGAGTGCCCGGCATGCAATGGGTGCTCAGTGAATGCTGGTCCCTCTCCAGTCCTCCCCAGTCCTCTCTAGCTGCGCCAAGGGGCGAGGAGGGCTGTTGAGGCAGATACTGTGCCACTTACTACTGGAAGCTGGTGTCACCCCAGGAGAGCCAGCCCCTTAGTCCCTGGGCTGAGGCCCCCTGAGCAGCCAAGCTGACAATTGGGCAGTGATGCCAGGGGGCCCCATGGGCACTTGGTTTCTCTCTGTGGGGCCAGTGACACCGGTGGGTACTTACTCCAGGGCAGATCCTGTGCCCAAACAAGCTCATGGGCCCCATGTGTTCCCTGACTCCACTTCTCAACCCGTTCCCGTTCCCCACGTGGCCTGTCATGACACATTGGGCTGGCTGGTAGGTAGCCACAAGGAGCCGGATGGCCTGCATTCGAACCCCTGCTCTGTCCCCGACTATCTGCGTGACCTTGGGGAAGCCACTTAACTTCTTTGTGCCTCAGCATCCTTTTTTTACACTTAATTTTATTTTTTGTAGGGGAGATAATTAGGTATGTATGTATGTATGTATGTATGTATGTATGTATGTATGTATGTATGTATTTATATGGAGGTACTAGGGACTGAACCCAGGACCTCATGCATGTTAAGTATGTGCTCTGCCACTGAGCTATACCCTGCCCCTACTCCCACCACAGCATCTCCATCGATGGAATTGTCAGCTTGGCTGCTCAGGGGGCCTCAGCCCAGGGACTAAGGGGCTGGCTCTCCTGGGGTGACACTGTGCTGATAATACTAACCTCAGATGAGTGAATCCATGTAAAATGTTCAGAATAATATGCAATCTGCATCAGACACTCTATGAACGTTCACTAGTAATTGAGCTCGGCAAAAGCCCCCAAACTCCCCTCCAGTCCCCTGACCCTTGTGGTTGTAAGAATATCCCACCCTGCTTAGACCAGCGCTCATTTCTGAGGATCTTGTGACTCACTCACATTCTAGCTGACAGAGCTGTGGCCACCTAACTCTCCTTTCACCAGCAAAACGAAGCATTTAAGATGTACCCTGAGGTGTCAGGTAGGACCATCCCGTGCAACTTCTTCAGGGAGCATCAGCCAGAAATATGACTTAGCCTAAGCGTTTCTCCCTATTCGGAACAATTAACTCCCATCCCCTGCCTCCCTCTCCTCTGGCCCCCTGGTCCCCTCCTCCCTTCTGGAGCCAGGTGGCTCATCCTTTTCCTGTCCAGCCTTCTCCTTTTGTCCATCTGTTTCCCCAGATTGCGAGAGAAACGTCACAATTGGCCCACTTTCTAACTGGAAAGAAACCATATGGAGGGTTTAGCTGGGAGCTGAGCGTCTGCCCGGCCACTGTTAGGGCCAGGCCAGCGCTGTGGGCAGCAGACTGGCTCCCTCTGGCTCTCTATGTGATCCGGGACTGGAGGTGCCCAGTCCTGCCCCCATACTCTCTCTTATTTTCTCCTTCTCTCCCTTCTCCAGGAGCTCCTGGTAGCCATGCTCTCCTCTGGGGCTTGGGACTTCTTTGGGTGTCTTAGGAGGACTTGAGGGGCTTGGTTTGCCTGAAAGTAGCAGAAAGTAAGGGAGGTGCTGGTCAGGGTGGGTCAGAGGCCTGTGGATGTTACAGAGAACCAGGGGTTCTACTTCCTGGTGGTGTGAGATTGTGTGTGTCATGTGGCCCCACGCCTGGCAGGCACCTGGCATGGGGCAGCCCTCTTTCTAGTGCGAGAAACTTGCCGTGCGTGCTGCTCTTACCAAGAACCTGTTAATGAGCACAGGGCCTGGGGACTAGAGCCCTCAGAGGTGTGTGTGGATGTGGGGGTTGGAGGCACTAATGACCCAGGGTGGACAATTTGCTGTCATTCTCAGATTTACTCCTCCAAAAACCATATGAAGTGGTTACATTGAAAATAACCAGTGTTTACTAAGCACTTGCTATGTGCCAGATATTATTGTATTTATATGTATGAACTCACTTAGCTTTATAACAACCCTACAAAATAGGTAGTGTTGTTATCTTCACTTTATAGATGATGTACCTGAGGCACAGAGAGGTTCAGTAATCAGCCTGAAATCACACAGCATTAAGTAGCATGGCTGAAATTTGAACCCAGACAGTCTAGCTCCTAACTATGATGCTCTGTTGCCTCTTGCTGGCAACCTGTTTGTACATATGGGGAAACTGAGGCACAGAGAACTTAAGTGGCATGTCCAGGGTGATATAGCTCATGACTAGCAAAGCTAAAATTTGCACTGTGGCTGTTCTGACTTCACAGCTCATGTTCAGAGATCAGCACCTGGGAGCTAAGCATCAGGCTAGGGGAACGTGGGACCCCCCTGGAGTGTGGTTGGGGGAGAGACCCTGTCTGCCCCAGGCTGACTGGTACCCTTCTGCAGGGGGTGTGTGCATCGCCCAGTCAGTCAAGATACCACGGGAACCGAAGCCCGGGGAGTTTGACAAGATCATCCGGCGCCTCCTGGAGACCTCGAACGCCAGGGCGATCATCATCTTTGCCAATGAGGACGACATCAGGTGAGGGCAGGAGGCAGTGGGGCGGGGGCTGAGAGCTAGGGATCCCTGCGGGAGACCTTCCTAGACAAGCCTGACACACCCTGGGGTCCAGAGAGATGGGGTGAGCCAGTGAGTGTGTGGGCTGGGAGACCCCTCAGGCTGGGACACAGGCTACTGTTAATGGGGCCCCCTTTTTTCCCCCTCCCTGTTTCCTGCATCCATTCTACCAACTGGGGGTGATAAACAGGTACTTTAATGGGGGGACTAAGGCTGTGGGCTTGGGGCACCTAGGTTCTACTCCTCCTGTTAGCTGTGTGACCTCAGGCAAGTTTCTCAACCTCTCTGGGCCTTTTGTCTGTTTTTTAAAAAAACGAGTTAAGGATGCCTGCTACATAGTGTTGTTTGAGCCCTGAATGCAGGAGTGTGCATAAGGGGCTTAGAGCAGAGGCTGACATGGGGTGGTCTGGCCACCCCTCAGCCACTCCTTCCTTTCTTTGGTGAGCTCAGAGTAGTGGGAAGAGGCCTGGGCTGTGGTTCTAGTTCTAGTCTGGCTTGGGGCCACACTCACTGTTGGCAGTATCGCTCCTCCCTGGGCCTCAGTCTTCACATCTGCAGAGTTGGGGCAGGTGGCCTCTGGGTGCCAGAACCATGCAGAGCAGAAACCCTGGACCAGCCCACCTCTCAGCACATCTGCCCCTGGGTCCTGAGTTGCAGGTCAGACACTCACATGCCCTTAAAAGGTGGCCTCTGAACACCCCTCCTAACCCACTTGCCTTCTTTCTGCCTTTTCTCTGCTACCACCTCTCTGGGACTGAAAATGGACCTGACTCTCATTCCGCAATCTGAGAGGAGACACAGGCCCTGCTCAGAGTCTGGTAGGGGAGGCACACTCTGCATTTGCAGAGGAGGGTGAGATAGTAGATATGGTCCTCCCCAGCCTCCTCCCTCCCATAGCTGGCCTGGGCTGTCAGAGCCCGCTGTGCCCTCCGGCCTCCCCTGCCTACCTGCCCAGCCCAGCCTGCCCAGTCTGCCCTGCCCCTACTCGGCTCCCGCCCCACTGCTAACCATCCACTCTGGGTCCCTTTCTTTCCAACACTATTTCCCACTTGTAAAGACCCCATCCTGGACTCCTGAGTTGCAGCAAAACAGATGTCCCCCCAGGAGACATTGTCAGGTCCCTACAGGGATGGAGGGCAAGGTTCCGGAAGATCACTAAGGCCTCAAAAGCTAAAAGGACCAGTTCTAATAAGTATTTCTCAGGCAGCAAAAGATCAGGCAGTGGGAGTCCTCAGGGTCCATCTGACACCTCCAAGCTGAAAACAGAGGCTGCTCCCAACCCCCTCAAAGCTTTCAGGTCCTCTAAATTCTGGCTCTGGACGGTCCTGTGGCCATAGGTCAGCCAGCAACTGGGGGGTGGAGGGACTCCTCTGAGTTTTTTCTTTTTCCCTCCAATCACCAGTCCCTGTACTCCTGCCCCCACTCCCACCCCAAAGCCCAGCCCTCCTCAGGTCCCACCTCACCCACTCCAGCCCCCTGCGCAGCTCAGGTGGACCCACATTCTGGGAGGGAAGGCGGAAGGCTCTGGACCACAAATCCCAGAGAAGAGGCACCTTAGGGGGAAAGGGGGAAGGGCCTTAGATTGGCTCTCTGAGCAGCTTTTGGGTATGTGTGTTGGTGGAGGGGGTGGGGCGCATTTCTGGAAATCCACATGCATTTTCAGAAGCAAACAGAAGTAAAAATAAACCCAGGTGACTTTGCAGAGATTGAGGCTTGGGATCTCTGGTCATCTCTGGCTGGCCGGATGCAGGCGGGTATTAATAGGGCTGTGGTGTGGGTTCTGAGAGCATCCTCACCTCCAATTAATGTGCCCTGCGGGGGCTGCAGCAGGTTTGGGAGCCTGGCAATGTCGTGAATCAGGAGATGATGGAGGAGGGAAGGTGTGGGCTCTTGGGCCTAGAAACCTGTTTTTCCCTGGCAGCCGCAGGCGGTCCTGCCCTAGCTGGCCACCTCCTGCACAGGCCCAGCATCCTCCACCCAACCCCTGGAGTCTGTGTCCTGGCCTTGTCCATGGGAGGGGCCTGGCCAGTTTCTAGTCTCCTGGCCTCTTAGGTGCTGTGGGATCTTGAGCAAGTTGTTTGCTTCCTCTCGGCTCCAGTCTCTCCCCATGGAGAGAGCTGCGTTGGGAGAAGTCTGCCCAGTCCTTCCTGTCTTTCTCCTCCTAGAAGATGTGTTTGAGGGGCCACTTAGCTCATGCATCCTGTAAGCACTGATTGAGCGCTGCATGTGGGCTCAGCCCTGTGCTGGGCTCCAGGACCCCTGACTTGATTAGGACCACTGTCACTGTAGGCCGGGGAAAGGGGGAGCACCTGGCTGCCCGCTCCTTTTCATCCATCCAGGTTGATGTGGGGAGCAGGTCTTTGAAGGACCTGGACTTTTGGCACAGAAGGAGGTGGGATGAAGAGGGGGAGGGTGTAGAGGGGTGTGTGTGTGTTGTGTATGTGAGACAGTGGATATAAATATGGATATAAAAATAAAAACTAGGGACCAAGGTGGCATGAACCTTAGAGGACAGGGCCTGTGCAGATGTAGTTCCAGGGGCCTGAGTCAGACACAGGGCAGATCCAAACTTAGGGAAACAGGTGTGGTGTTTGCAGGGACAGATTTGGTCCTAGGGGACAGGAGTGGGTCTGGGAAGCACATTGCTCCTATAGGCAGGGGTGGACCCAGGGGACAGGCAGGGGATAGGGGTGCAAGGAGAGGTGAGAGGGGTAGCTGTGGGCCTATGGGCTTATGGACCAGGGCACCAGGGGACCATGGGCCTGGGGTACTGGCATGGGTTCTGGGGCAACTCTGAGCCCAGGACTCACATGGATGAGGAGTGAGAGGTCCAGGTGTGGGCTGTGAGGGAGACAGGTGTGACCAGGGGTGGGGGCAGTTTTGTGGGCAGACACGGCTGGGCTGGGCTGGTGTGTGTTCCCTCAGGCGTGTGCTGGAGGCAGCACGGAAGGCCAACCAGACAGGCCACTTCTTCTGGATGGGCTCGGACAGCTGGGGCTCCAAGATCGCACCTGTGCTGCACCTGGAGGAGGTGGCTGAGGGGGCTGTGACCATCCTCCCCAAGAGGATGTCCGTGCGAGGTAGGCCCAGCAGCTTGGGCGGTGCGCCCGCTGCTCTTACCTGACATCATCCACCACCGCTGTCACTGTCACCCCCGACTATCCCCCGACTCCCTGCCTCTCCTGCTTCTCATCTTCCTGCATCCTGTCTTTCCTCTTCCTTGGCTCATAGCTTCTTTGTGCTCAGGTTCTGGGCTGGGAGGCCTTTCTGGCCACATTCTACCCAGCAGGATTCCAATCGAGATTTAGGACCTTTCTTCCTCCCTTTCCAGATATTTCTGCCCTGTGCTGGGGGACAGGGGCCTCCCTGCAGAGCCTGCCTGGGTCTGGCGAGTCCTAGATGTTGAGGAGTCTGGCCTGCCCTGCCTGGCATCCCTTCCTCCTGGGGCCAAACCCACAGTCACCCTGGTCAGGAACAGATTGCTCTGGTTGGAACCTCTCTGTGAGTGAGGCATGAAGTTCCCATTAACGGCCCGATTTGGCAGGGACCTCACTGTCCTCACCATGGGGGAGGCAGGTTCCCAGGGCCTTCTCCTCCACTCTTGCTCCATTCAGTACAGTCTAGCACTGGTGGAGCTGGAAAGGCCTACAGGCATCTGCCTCCACCAAACTTTCCAGGATACCGAGTCCTGGGCAGGGGAGGGACATGCGTAAGGTCACACAGCAGTGTCCTCTGTTTACTCGAGGCAGAGGGAACACAGGCAGCAGAAGTTTCTACACTACCCACTCAGCCTTAAGCCATAATAAACATAAAGTAACAATAACTATGGCTATTGGTACCCAGAAATGCCAGGCCCCTTGCAGACATCTCATTTAGTCTTCCCCGCAACCCCACGAAAAACTTCTATCCACATTTAGTAGATGAATACATTAAGGCTCAGAGAGATGAAGTGACATATAGTGGCTGAAAGTGACACAAAGTGGCTATTAAATGGCAGGGTGCCAAGACTTGCCTGACAAGTCTCTTTTCTCTCTGGGACATTAGAGAAGCCTTTAGAGCCATAGTTCTCATCTGTGGGTGCTTTTGACCCTCAAGGATCAAGTGGCAATGTCTGGAGACATTTTGGTTGTCACAATTGGGGAATGATACTTCTGGTATCTTGTGGGTAAAGGCCAGGGGTGCTGCTGAACATCCCGTGATGCACAGGATGCCCCCTGCCCCAGCAAAGAATGATCAGGCCCAGTGTGAGCAGTGTCAAGGTTGACACTCGACTTTAGGCCAGTCCCCCACCAGTGCCAGCACCTCCCTTACAGCTCCGACAGGTGGTCACTGAGCCTCCACTGAACCCTGCCGTAGACAGGAAGCTCACTGATTGGTGTGGCCCCATTGAACTTTCAGGCCGTCAGGCCCATCCCCAGCAGCTCGGTCAACTGTGCACCTTTCACAGAACAGTCATGATGCAGAAGGGCCCTGAGAGGAGACAGAAGGCGTGATTCACCACCAGCCTGCCCACCTAGGGCAGGTGTTTCTGGGCTTAGAGCAGAGTTGCTTAGTTCCTTGCAGCATTTGGAGGAGGAGGCTGCCTCTGTCAGTGATGGGGAGGTTCTGGACTTGAATGGAGAAGATCCGGGTCCCCATTTTGCTGTGTGACCTGGATCACTCCCTACACTCTCTGGTCCGATCTCTTCAGAACCAGAGAGCTTAGGTGCTCCCAGGCTTGGGCGCCCCTGCCCCCGACTAGCCTCTCTGCTCTACTCTCAGGACGCCCAGGTGGCTCCTCAAAGAGGCCCCATATTATCATTTTGGTGGTTAAAAAGCAGGAGAATTATCTTTTTCCTGTGCTTCACTTCCATTAAGGCAGCAGTTGTGAGATTACACATGCCCCCCCTGGAACTTAATACAGCTCTTTTCTCTATGAAGGAAATGAAATGCTCCACGTTTTATTTTGTCCAGCTGGTCCCGGGATCAGAGAATGCCTTCTTCCCTCAGCCCTGCCTCTGCCTGGGCCCTGTAAGGCTGCGGGAAGCAGAGGGAAGGGCTGGGAGTGGGCGGGGAAGAGAGGCCGAGGTCCTGACATCCTGGTTCCCTGTCAGGCTTTGACCGCTACTTCTCCAGCCGCACGCTGGATAACAACCGGCGCAACATCTGGTTTGCTGAGTTCTGGGAGGACAACTTTCATTGCAAGCTGAGCCGCCACGCACTCAAGAAGGGCAGCCACGTCAAAAAGTGCACCAGTGAGCATGAGCACGGGGCGGGGCCTGGGGCTGAGCCTCAGGGGGAGGGGCCAGGATGGGCCCGGAAGGGATGGGACTGTGTGTGTGGGGAGTCTGAGAACCCTGGGTAGGGGGTGCTATGGGACATTATTGCAGGAGCTGTACTGTCCAGGGGCCTAGGCGGTGGCACCTGGGTGTGGAATTGGGGGCCCAAAGGGGCAGGGCCAGGGCTGAATCGTGGTCTGACACCAGGGCCTTGCCTGTGGGTGGGCTTAGGGTGATGCTGCTGAGTGGGGAAGGGGCTCCTGGGTCTGGCAGAGGCTTTCTTCTGTCTGTGGCCGCCTTGGGCTTCATCTGGATGTCCCACAGGGAAGTGACCCCAGCCGCTCTGTGGCTTCTGATGTTCACCAGTCTGAGCACTTTACAGAAACCATCTCTAACCACTTGGGATTCCCTCAGTCACTCAGCAGACACCAGTTTGATTCGCAGTGCCTGGCCCTTGTTCTAAGCACCGTGGATATAGCAATGAATGAAAGAATCAAAAATCTCTTGGAGTTTTTATCCTAATAGGAGGGACAGACAATAAACAAGATAAATAAGTAAACTATGGATTGTATCAGAAGAAAAATGTGCAGTCAAAACAAACAAAATCGATAAGAGAGAGGATGGCCTCTAGGAAAGGTGACATTTGAGCAGAGTCCTGAAAAGAACAGGGAATGAGCCACAGGAAGATGGGACAATGGGTCTGTTTTACAGGCTGGAAAACGGAGGCTCAGAGAAGTTAAGAAAAAGGACCTGAGTTCCCACAGATGGAAGGTGGTAGAGCAGGATTTGGACCCAGCTCTGAGCTCTAGGCCCTCAGCCCCCCATGGTAGCCATCTTGGTGTGTTCACTTTTGATACATGTGGATGTGAGTCCTTGTGTGCTCGTGGTGTGGTGGCTCTGCAGCAGGACCTGGCCTCAGGGACATTGGGAGGGCCCTGGGTACCCCTCAGCCTGAGCGGTGCCCATGCAAGGATGGTGCACTCCCTCTTATATCCTCCTGGACTGGTTGGTGCAGCTCGGGCAGAGACATTGATGAGCAAGGGGTCACTGAACTGGCTGCGGGGACATGTTGCAGGGAAGATGCTGGCCTCCCATTCTTCCAGACTTGGGCTGCTAAATTACCCAACTGCATGTCTCAGGAGAGCGGCAGATACTGGCAGTGGGAGATTGGGCTGGTGTGTCTTGAGGTGGCAAGAAGTGGGTGGGTACCCAAATGGTTACTTCCTAACTGTGTGACCTCGGGCAGATCATTTCACCTCTGGAGGCCTCAGTTTCCTCATCTGTAAAATAGGAATCATACTGCCCACTCCCATTCTCCCAGGGCCCCATCCCCAGCAGAGCTACCTCTCTCACGGTTTCCCAGAGGAGGCGTGGAGGTGTTCTGCAGGAAGCACTCGTAGATGGCCCGTGCATTGCCCCACACCTGAGCGAGACAGGAGTCACTGAGCTGGATGTCTCTGCAGCTGTCAAGGCCTGTGGGAGGAAATGCCCTCCCCCCTCCTCCTCTCCTGGCGCCCTCCCTGGGAGCCCGCGGAGCAGGGCTTGGGAATTAAAGCTGTAAACAAGGCAGATGTGGCATCCGTCTTTCTGACAGCACTGCCAGCCAGGTGACGGCTGAGTGCAGGAAGGCCTGGTTTACGAGGAGGTAGGAGAAATTTACTGCCTGCTGCTCCCGGGGGCTGGGAGCTCTGAGAGTGAGGATAGCAGCATGGCAGCTGGGGATGTGTGGGGAGATGCCGATCACCCAGCCTGTGCTAACAGTAATAACAACAATAATAATAACAGCTGATATTTATATAGCATTTATTACTTGTCAAGCTCTGTTCTAGTGCTTTGCATTTAATCTTCATAGCAACCCATTTTACAGATGAGGAAACTGAGGCACAGAGAGGTTAAAGACTTGCCTAAGGTCATACAGGTAGTACGTAGCAGAGTTGGGATTTGAACTCTGGCCATCTGGCTCCAGGGATGTCTTAATCCTGGGGCCCTCCTGCTATTCCTGCTTGGCTTAGAAGGCTCTTCCCACCTCCACATTCCTAAAGGAATATAAGGAGTTCCCCTAGGGAAAGGAAGGAAGACCAACATTTGAGATTACCTGCTATGTGCCAGGCCATGCCACTCATTAGATGATCTCACATTTGCTTAAACCACAAGCCATATGGTGGCCAGAGGGATCCTGAGCCTTTCCCCTCAATGCTGCTTCTTATTTATTCAACTGCATTTACTAGGAAGCTGTCTGTGTGCCCAGCCCTGTGCTACGCTCTGTGAGGGGGATAGACCTGCCCTGGGAAGCTTCTCCTGCAGGTGGGAGACAATATGGCCTCACAGACGAGGCGGTATATGATGGCGTGGTCTCAGCAGTCAGAGCCATGGGCCTCCAGAGAGCACCTGATTGTGAGACCAGGGAGGACAGATCCAGGAGGCCTCTTGGAGAGAAACTGAGAGTGCTGGGAGACTATGGATGGTGCACTTTTAATTCAGGAGGTCAGAAGTCCTTACTGGGAAGGTGACTGGGAAAGAGTGTGCCAGGCAGAGGGCACAGCATGTGCAAAGGCCCTGAGGTCGGCTCAGGCCTGGCAGGTTTGGAGAGCAATGAGGAGGCCCATGCAGTTGAAGCAGATAGAGCAACAGGTAGAAGCTAAGGTCAGTGAGCTGGGGTGGGGTGGCACAGATCGTGTGGGCCTTGCAGGCAGTTTGTAAGGATTTAGTCTTTTAATGCAGAATGAGACAAAGCTATTGCAGGGTTTAAAAAAGATTAATGTGATCAGATTTATGTTGTAATGGACTCACTCTGGCTGCTTCCTGGAGCGGAGATGGGGGCAAGGACAGAGCAGAAGACCAGTTAGGAGGCAGTGCTGTAGTCCAGGTGGGAAGTGATGGGACCCCGGAGCAGGTGGTGGCCATGGAGATGGTGAGAAATGTATACCTTCTGCAGAATTTGCTGATGGATTTGAGGTGAATCAAAGATGGCAGAAAATCAAGGATGAATCCAAGGTTCTTGGCTGGGCACTGAGATGGGGGTGGGAGGGTCAGGCCTAGCCATATGGAGAATCCTGGGAGAGGTGGGTGCAAAACCCAGGCTGGAGTTGGGCAGGAGGGAGATGTTGGAGAGAAATTGATGGTGAGTAGGGACAACTCTTCTGAGGTTTGCTCAGAAACGGAGAAAGAGAGATGCTAGCTAGAGGAGAAGTGGGGTCAATAGAAGGTTTTTATTTGTTTAAATGGGAGAAATTGGAGCATATTTCTCTTTTGACAGCAAAGATTCAGCAGAGGGAAAACCAGATGCTGCTGGAAGGGGAGGGAGCCTGGTTGGGTGATGGGGGAGAGGAGACATCCACGTGGCGGGGCAGCTGTGACTTCAGCCCCCAGAGCTGCCTCCCCTTCACCCCTGGCCGCAGTCTGACCCGGTCTGGGAGGGCTATGCCCAGGCTCCAGGGCTGAGGGGTGTAGGCCTCAGAACCAGTGTGGGGCAAGCTGTCCTGTGCAGGTGCCAAGCGTGGCCTCTGCTACAGCGATCAACCTTCTCTAGTGGTCCCAGGAACCGCCTCATTTCACAGACGAGGGGATGGGAGCTCAGAGATGCTAAGTAACTCAGCAGGCCAGTGAGAGGCTGAGCGGGGGCTTTCAAACTGCTCCCATCTGACCCTGACACCCATGTCATGTTTCTCAAACTGGGGTCTGTGGACATCTGGAGACACATTCTTGTGGTCAGTCTCTTAGAGACCCAGGAGTTCCATGACGATTCTTGAACTTTGCATTTTCATCAGCAAGTGGTCTTTACCAATTGCAAAGGCAACTTCTCTGCTACTGTGATCATCTGCAGTTGGAAGTCACTGTCACCATCAGGACTTCAGCTTCTGATGATTGTATTTTCATCCTGGGGTCATATTCATCCTGGGGTCATCCTGGGACAGAGTTGTTTTCCTTCAAAAGGGGCCTGAGGCTGGCTCAGGGTTGGGGAACCCTGGGCTGTACCACTGCAGAGCTCCTGGAGCCAGAAAGACAGGAGCCCACCCTGCTGGGTGAGTCACTTCACCTTCTTGCCCCTGAGGTGGTGATCCCTTATCAGCCCCAGCCAGTAACCCACCAAGACCCCAGGGCTGGCAGCGTTCCCAGGGACGGGAGTTGGCAGAGAGCTGAGACCAAGTTTGGGGGAACAGACTTAGAGATGGCAGAGACCAGGCTGAGTTGTTTAGAGGTTCCCCAATTGAAAAGCAGATGACTTGATGGGTTGAAAATTCAAGGGGCCGGCAGAAACCATGGTGGGGGGCTGAAGAAGGAGGGTGCGATTCTAGATGAGGAAGGGGAGCCTGCCATGTGACTTTGAGGGATGCCAGCAGGCCCTGGGGCAGCGGAGCCTGACCTCAGGACAGGACCTGTGTGTTCCAGGGAGGTGACGGGGAGAAGGTCTCAACCACAGGCAGAGTCAGGAAAGAGGGGGCATGGCCAGCAGGCGCAGGTGGCAGCTCCTCCCCCCATCTGTATATCAGGCCCCTTTCTGTGGGGTGGGCACCCCACTCATCTCATGGGGGGCAAGGCTAACCAGCACGTGCCAGGCTGCAGACAGGATGGAGTGGTGGCCCAAGACTGGATTGGAGGTCTCTGGGGGTGGAGCATTATGCCACGGAGGAGTGTTAGGGAGGAGAGGAAAGCTGTGGCTTATAGAGCGCTATGTACAAGATATGATGCTGTGTGTTCTACGTCTGTGCCTCCTCGAATTGTCTCAGTGGCCTCTCAGTGGGTACTATTGCCCTGGGTTTCCATCTGAGGGATATAGATTTTACTTCACCTGGGTCCTATAGCTGGTCTGTGGCAGAGCTGTGTACCAGACGGCTCTCCCTGTGGGGATCCAGGGACCCTCTTATACTACTCCCTGGGAGTTTGCCCAAGGGATGAAAATCAGTGTGTATGTTTGCATATTTGTATGTAAATGCAAATTTAGATGTGTGTAGATGTGTGTTGTGCACAGACACCTGTGCCAGATTCCTTGTGTGGACCTGAACCTGCGAGCGCAGACCCCGCGAGGGTCTCACCAGCCCTGTCTCAGCCAGTGGAGTTAATTCCCCCTGGGGGGCAGCCTTCAGCCTAAGACTGGCGGGAGCTGGGGTATTTGTCCCCTCGGATGGGATGACCCTGAGGCGTACGCTATACAGTTTTCTGGAGTCCCCCACGAGCTTAGGCCCCACACCTGGTGTTACTGCTCTCCCTTCCCCATCTCACCTCCTTACCCCCTCCTAGTGTTTCCAGCCATCACTTCCCAGGTCAAACACTTGCACCCAAATCCTTGTCAGGACCTGCTCGTGGGGCTTCTCGGCCTGACAGTAAATCTGAGTGACCACATGCTTGTATGAGTGTCATGATGACTGTGTAGCTGTGTACATAGTGTGTGTTTATGTGTGCACCTGTGTTCAGATATGTTGGAACATGCATACGGGTAGAGAGCTGTGTATACATGCACGCAGGCTTGTGGGTTGCTACTCTATATGGTAGATGTGAAAATACATGTGTCTAAGTGGTTGATTTTGTGCACCTTGATGTCGGGGAGTGTATGTGTGCCTGTGTACACAAGCATAGAACTCCAGAGGATGGTGGTGGGGCCGGGTGGGCTGTGGAGAGGTGAGGGGGGAGAGAAGGAGGAACTCTGATTCTTTCAACCTTGAAAACTCATTTCAATTACAATTTACAACCTGCAGACAAAGGCTGCAGTCACCGTAGTAACCACAGCTACGGGGTTTTGATGGAGAAAATCCTCTCCCGGGTGGTTCCTCGCTCGGCTGGCTGTCACCCGTGGCAGAGCCAAGTGCATCTCGGGCTCGGTGTGCCCCGGGACACAATTAGGACATCCTCAAACTGTTGCTGCTGTCATCGCTGCCATGAGTCTGGAATTTATCTCCTCCAGGAGCTCTCAGAAGTGTGTCTCCTATCCTCCCATAACTGCAGTTCCCCTGCCTGGGCCTGGGGGTCCCGCCCACTCATAGAGGGGATTTTTCTGACCCCCGCTTTCCTCCATGGCCACCTCTCTCCTGTAGCCCTGCAGACAGGCATCCTTAGCTCCTGGTTAGGCCTGGCCAGACAACTGGGGCAGGACCTGAGCCCCAGAGAAGGGGGAAGGAGGCAGGTCAGGGGCTGCATGGAGGGAGAAGAAGGGGAGGGACAGTTCAGGGTGGTAGAGACTCTTTTGGAACCAGAGAGATCCAGGTTCAAATCCTAGCTTTGGTGCTTACCAGGCAGGCCAGTCCCCAGGTGTGTGTGAGTGCCTGCCAGGCGCCAGGACTCCTGCAAGACTGCATACATCACTCGACCACGGGCAGCTCTCAGTTACCTCCTCTGTGAGGGGGCCAGTCCAGCCTACCTCTCCGATGCTTGGAGAGGAGGAAATGCCAGCCATGCCCCAGGGTTATTTGCTGAAGGATATGCAGCAAATGGTGCATATCCTTCAGCAAATGGTTATGGGCACATCTTCTGACCTTCAGGACCTTCTTCAGTTTGTGTTTGTAATTCCTGCCCCCCTCCCCTAAAGTGAGTACACTTAGGCTCTGTCCTTTGTTGCTTCCTGTGGGGCTCAGGGGAAGGGCCCTTGGAGTTTGAGGTGTGTGTGTGTGTGTGTAGGGGGCATGCTCAGGCCTGCCACTCACTCACAAACAAAGGCCCTTTGCCCGTCACCTCACTGCTCCCGTTTTCTCATTTGTAATTGGGGCCAGATTTGAGACAAAAGTCAAGGCCGTGAAAATGCGTTGGGAAGCCTCTGGAAGTCCATGGCTGGCACCTTAACAACTCTAGGGGGGAGGTCCTGGAGGGGCAGCACTGAAGGGCCGCCTACAGTCCACAGGACCCCAGAGCCCTTCCCATGGGAGCCTCCCCAGGCAGAGGTGGAGGTGGACTTGGTCCTGGACCTGAGTAGTCTAGGAATGGATGCTTCAGCCTGACCCACTGAGGAGGGACCCCTGAGAAGACAGGGAAAGGAGGGGCCAAGGGCAGCTCAGCTGGGGCGATGTGGCCAAGGTCCCTTGGCCCAGTGTGTCCTTGGCCTTGAGAGAGAACTGCCTCCTCTCTGCAGTGACCGCAGCCTCCCCCTTCATCCTGGTTAATAATTCAGCCTCTCATCCATATGAAATGAGGGTGTGATGGGAGCTGCAGGGGAGTGGAGTGGTATTTTATGGTCTTCGGGAAGCAGAGGGCAGGACCCAGGGGCTGGGGGTGGGGTCCAGGGCTGGGGCTTTCCAGGCGATGCTGCCCCAGCCCCCACTGTCACCCTGCAAGATTATCCCTTGTGCTTCTCTCCTGGCTCTCACAACCTGTGATCAGAAGCCTTGGACAAGAGGGCGGGCTGCCAGCTGGAGAACTTGCATCTCCTGTTGGCCTATCTCTGTGCCGTAGTCTAGAGATAGCTTTGCCCGTGAACAGAGCTCTGCCCTCCCAGAGCTCCCACCTCTTTGTGCCCTTGTGTTTAACAAACTTCTGTAGCACCTGGCCAGCACCAGCCCTTTCTTTATGACCCATTGTGAATATTAACCCATTAATCCTCCTAGGGACAGTATCCTGACCCTGTGAGGTGAGAACCATTATCACCCTCATTTTGTAGATGAGGAAGCTGAAGCCTGAGAGCTGAGGTGGCAGGTCCAAGGTCACAGCTAGAGTACGTGGTGGAGCTGGGGTTCCAGCTCAGACTATCTTGTGCGAATGCAACGCAATGGTAGTAGTGGGTAGCCAGGGGCTGAGCTGACTGCCGAGAGAGCCGGGTGGGCAGCCTTGAAGACCACCCTGTCTCCAGCCCCGAGACTGCACCATAGAAGCTGTGGGTTCTTTCTGGACTCAACAGTGCCCCCAGAGCCACCTGGACATCTGCCCCTAAACCATCCAGTCTGAGTACTGGGACCTTTGATCTCTGACCCTGAGGTTGGGATACTGGAGCCAGGTTCTGACCTTGGTCATGGAGTCTTGGTGGCCAAGGGATATGAGATGTGCCACCAGCTTCGTGAGAGCCCTGGGCAGCAGGGACAGTGACCATTCACTGCTAAAAATGCAGGAACCTAGGGGTGATCTGTGGATCCCTGGAGCCTCAACCTGGCCCCACATGAGACACTGGAGGCCCAGGCCAGTGGCCTATGGGGTTGGATGTGGGTGCAGCCACTCACCCTGCTGGCTGCTGGGGAATTACCTCTGTAAGGTGTAGAACTGGCCTTCTAGCAGGGAGGCACCAATGTGCATGTGTGTGTGTGCGTGTGTGTGTGAATTTCATTGCCCTGGCCTTGAGGGAGGAGGCCGCATGCTGTGTGCCCTTGGGAGAGGAAGCTGGACTTCCCTAGCACTCTGCCCATCCTCTCCCTTCCTCCCCTCTGCCATCCTCCTGCCCCCATGTCCCCACCTCAGAGCCCCTGCCCCTTCCTGACCTCTCCTCCCACTATTCTGCCCTCCCCCTGCAATCCGGCTCTTACAATCTCTCAGGCGTGGTGTAGTGCACAGACTGGGAGCTGGAGCATCTGGTCCAGTCCAGCTCTGCATGGTCCTGGAATGCCAGTGAGCTTTTCTGTGCCTCATCCTTTTTCATCTCTGTAATGGGGATAATTACTCACCTCACAGCATTGTTGTGAGAATTCAATGAGTTAATATCCTTAAAGAGCTTAGAACAGTGCTTAGCACAGAGTAGATGCTCCACAGACGTTAGCAGTCCTTCTTCATTATCATGATTACCCAGGGCCCAGGCCAGGAGCTCCTCCTCCAGAAAGACTTCCTGACCTACTCTGGCCCAGGGACCTCTTTAGCCCACCTTTGAAACCATCTGTCTGGTCTGACCACTTAAGCACAGTAGTAATGTGGCGTGGTCGCCCACTCTGTGCCAAGTGTTTCCTGTACCTCATTTCACTTAAGCCTCATGGCACTTCTTTTGAGGCAGGGTTATGACCTCCTTTTTCCCCAGAGGACATCGAGGCTTCAGGCAGCCAAAGAGTTTGCACAGGGCCCAGAGCCCAAGGGGTGAGGATGGGAGGCTAGAGCTCCAAGGCCATGGTGCCCTGGGGAGCCACTGCTGTTTACAGTGAGAAGGCGGTGGAGTGTGTGGGGTGGGTTCCCCATTTTGCAAAGCTCACCATCCCTGGCTAGTGGGGGACCACTGACATGGGGAAGAGTGGTTGAGGATGACGGTGAGTTCTGGTGTCTGGGGCGTCTGGAAGCCACTGAGGTCATCAGGTGGCCTAGGACCTGAATCCCAAGAGAACTGCAGCCAATCTCTCACCCTCTCTGGGCCTTGGTTTCTCCACCTGTGCCCTGTGGTGGGGCAGCGTCCCCTGGCTGGAGTGGCTCCCCACGGGTGAGCTGCTGTAGGGCCCCGCTGCCTTCATCGACAGACACAGTTCCTGCCCTGGCGATTTCCCAGCCTGTGTGAGGGCCAGCTGCTCCCGTATTAGTCCAGGCCAGGCTCAGGGGTGGGGGGCACCACAGCCAAAAGGAGACCCCTGACTCACTGCCTTCCAAGGGTGACAGTGACAAGGGGGCCTGCCCTGGTTGTTCTGGAGCCTTGGGGTGCAGGGCCTAGTGGTGCAGTGGTGAGGGCAGTGGACCTTTCAGAACCATCCCCCTCTGGTGCCTCCCCAAGACCATACCCTGGGGTGATGGAGTCCAGAGATCTGTGGTGTGCACAGATGGGCTCGCTGGGCCTCAGGGGGCTGCTGGGGTTCCCATCACTTGTCTGTGAGGATGGCAGGCCTCACGGGTGCCCCCACTCTGAGTCTTTGGTTGCAGACCGAGAGCGCATTGGGCAGGACTCTGCATACGAGCAGGAGGGGAAGGTGCAGTTTGTGATTGACGCGGTGTACGCCATGGGCCATGCCCTGCACGCCATGCACCGGGACCTGTGTCCAGGCCGTGTGGGGCTCTGCCCACGCATGGACCCCGTGGACGGCACCCAGCTGCTCAAGTACATCCGCAGCGTCAACTTCTCAGGTGGGGGCGCAGTACAGGGCACCACCCAACCCTGGGGACTCCATAGGGTGGGAGTTGGGGGTGTCTCTTCAGATGCTTCCGAGGGGTGAAACCTCCTAAGATATTCCATGCAGAGGTGTCTCTGCCCCGGGCTCCTGGTCCTCCCTGCCTCTGTGCGAAGGCTCAACAAAGAAACTGAGTGTGTGACCCCCCCTGGCCCCACAGGCATCGCGGGGAACCCAGTGACCTTCAATGAGAATGGAGACGCACCAGGGCGCTATGACATCTACCAGTACCAGTTGCGCAACGGCTCTGCCGAGTACAAGGTCATTGGCTCCTGGACTGACCACCTGCACCTCAGAGTAAGCGCCTGGCAGCAGGGCAGGGAGGGGCCCTGGGGGGATGGGGGTGGAGAGAGGCCCTCCCCTTCCTTCCATACCCTACCCCAGACCTCAGAGGGCCCTCAAGCCCCCCAACCCTAAAATGGAGGAACAGGGCAGCTGGGTTTCTGCTGCCCTTTCTGCCCCTGCCCTTACCCTTGGCCTGTGGCCTCCCTGCCTGCTGCCCTTTTGTGGGGCAAGAACTGTGGACAGATGAGTTCACACCGAAATGTAGGGGCTCGAGGTCTTGGAGGGTGTAGGGAAGAAAAGTGAGGAGCCGCAGGGGTGCGTCTGGACAAAGAAGGATGATCTCTTAAGGCAAAGAGCACAGTCAAATCGTGAGATTTCTGGTGGTAGGTAGGGAGCTGTTTGAGAGTTACATTCCCAGTGCCATCAAACCACACTGGAAGGCCATCATTTTTTGGGTGTCATGAGGGGACTTCTCCTGGGTCCTCCTGGCCACACTTTCCCAGCTCACGGCTGTCTCAGGGACTTGGTGGCTCCCCCCACTCCAGGTCCTCATTGCCCCTAGCTGTGAATAAAGCCATGTTTTTGGAGAGAAAGGACCTGTATTTCATCCCCTGAGGAGGGGCCTGTGGACTGGTCTCTACCTCACCAGGAGAAGGGTGAGCCATGCTTGGTGTGGGCACAGTGTGATCTAGGTGGACCAAACAGGCTCAGGAGGCCCAGATTCTGGGGGAGTTGTGTCATGTCCCTGCTGTCCCCTCTTGTAATGATCTCGTCCAGCAGCAAGCCCCTGGAGCTCTTCAAAGCACTTTCTGCCTATGATCTCATTTATCCCCGACAATATTCTAAGTCAGAGGAAATATCTCAGAAAACCCAGCCCGAGGGACGTTCCAAAGGCCACACAACACGGCAGGGACAGAGCCCGTTCCCATAGTGATGCTCCTCGGGTTGCTGAGCGGAGACAGACAGAACAGGGCAGGCGGGAGCTGTGTGGGACAGAACCCAAAAGGAGGCACATCTTATTCTGGTGCAGCGGGTGGAAGGTGGGACAGGGCGGGCAGTGACTCGATTTACCAGCAGCAGCAGCTAATCCTTACTGAGCACCTGCTGTGGAGAGCTACTGTTCTAAGCGTGTGACCTTACTGTGAGGATGACAGCCCTCTGGGGCAGACACTGTTATTAACCCATTCTAAAGGTGTGGTAAGTGAAGGCAAGACTGGGGGGGTGAGGGGTGGCAGTAGTCCCCTCCCCAGTAATACAAGATCCCTCCCCTAGCATGGAGCCGAGGGGCAGGAGGAGGTGAGGTGGGGCTGGTCCTGGACCACCACACCTTCCCCACTCTATCCTGAGCTCTCAGTTTAGGCTGTGCTGGGGGGCCTCCCCTGCCTGCACTGTCTTCCTCCAGGGTGTGAAACTGAGGCGGCCTCATGCTGGTGCCTGGACCTCATAGCTTCTTACTACATTCTACAGAGATTCACCAGCCCCACTGTGGGCCAGCCCTGAGCTGGAGGCTGAAGATGCAGCAGGGAAGTGATTCAAAGCCCCTGCCCTCCTGGGGCTGTTTCAGTGAAATATACAGGGCTTCCAAGTGGAAGCCACAATAAGTCACAGAGGGCACAGTGGCCTCTTATCTGCTGTCTTTGGATCAGGTGGGAAAACAAAGGCCCAGAGAGTTTGTGGTGTCTGCTCAAGGGCACACAGCCAGCTAGCCACAGAGCTGTGATCCCAGGATTGGACTTCATTTACTGCTTTTTCTACTGGAGCTACAGATTTTTCCAGAACACCAACTGTCACCCTCTGTCTCCCTTTCTCCTCTTGCAGTGTCACAGCTCTGGTGCCAGGGATTGTCCCGCCCTATTGTTCCTGCAGGACGGTGGGTGGCCCTGGTCACTGCAGTGCTCCTTGGCCTCTAGGGGACCACACAACCCTGACATGCCCAGAGCCACAGGACACACCTGCTCCTTAAGGTTTTCTCTCCATCTACTGTGAGACCGTCTTTGGGTTCCCCACCCTGTCCACCTCATCCCACCTCACTCAGCCTTTTCCTCAGCTCCAAAACCCTCCCCTCGGCCCCGAACCAACTGGTTATTCCTTCTCCAGGAGTGAGCTCCTGGCACAAAGGGCGCATCAGTCTAAGCATAATCTCTTATTACAAGAGCCACTTTATTTAGAACAGCGCGGCTCTAGAGTGTAGTCAGATTCCCTTTGCCCAATGCCTGGAACTCTTTGGAGCTCTCACTCACTTTCCAGAACTTTGTGACCCATGTTCAGTAGGGTATGCCAGCTTCTGGGGCTCCTTTGCTCGCAGTGATTGTGTCTTCAGAGACATACAGCAGTGACTAGCACTCATTTAGAACGATATGTAAAGAAACGCTAACCCCTGGGCACATGTTAAGTGTCCTCTAAACCATTGTTCATTGTTCCCTGCTGAATCCAACTCCCTGTGCCACCCAGAGGAGGCCCTTGGGTGGCACGTCTCCCACTCGAGTACGCACGTGAATCACCCACAGGGTCTTGTGCAAACCCAGATTCTGAGTCAGTGGGTCTGGGGTGGGCCAAAATGTACATTTCCAAGAAACTCCTGTGTGATGCTGATGCTGCTGGTCTGGGGACCACTGTGAGTAGCAAGGCCTTACGGGCTGGGAGTCAGGACTCCCAGGTTCTCCCTGCCCTGCCATGTGACTCTAGGTTGTCACTGCTGGTCTCTGGGCTCGGTTTCTCCATCTGACCCTTGAGCAGGATTCCCCATTGGTCAGCTGGGTCTGAATCATGCCAGGGAGCTTTATTGAAATACAGCTGTTGGATTCAGCTGATCCAGGTGGGGCCCGGGGAACTGGGTCTTAGCCGTCTCACTGGGTGATCCAGGTGTGAGTCTCCAGGGTGCCAGCCAGTAGGGCGGTCCAGGGCACTAAGCGGCCTGACCTGAGGCCTGCTCCTCTGCGCTGTCGTTGCCAGATAGAGCGGATGCACTGGCCGGGGAGTGGGCAGCAGCTGCCCCGCTCCATCTGCAGCCTGCCCTGCCAGCCAGGCGAGCGGAAGAAGACAGTGAAGGGCATGCCCTGCTGCTGGCACTGTGAGCCCTGCACGGGGTACCAGTACCAGGTGGACCGCTACACCTGCAAGACGTGTCCCTACGACATGCGGCCCACAGAGAACCGCACAGGCTGCCAGCCCATCCCCATCATCAAGCTTGAGTGGGACTCGCCTTGGGCCGTGCTGCCCCTCTTCCTGGCCGTGGTGGGCATCGCCGCCACACTCTTCGTGGTGATCACCTTCGTGCGCTACAACGACACGCCCATTGTCAAGGCCTCGGGCCGCGAGCTGAGCTATGTGCTGCTGGCGGGCATCTTCCTGTGCTACGCCACCACTTTCCTCATGATCGCTGAGCCTGACCTGGGTACCTGCTCCCTGCGCCGGATCTTCCTGGGGCTTGGCATGAGCATCAGCTATGCAGCCCTGCTCACCAAGACCAACCGCATCTACCGCATCTTCGAGCAGGGCAAGCGGTCGGTCAGCGCCCCTCGCTTCATCAGCCCCGCCTCGCAGCTAGCCATCACCTTCAGCCTCATCTCCCTGCAGCTGCTGGGCATCTGTGTGTGGTTTGTGGTGGACCCCTCCCACTCGGTGGTGGACTTCCAGGACCAGCGGACGCTCGACCCCCGCTTCGCCAGGGGCGTGCTCAAGTGCGACATCTCGGACCTGTCGCTCATCTGCCTGCTGGGCTACAGCATGCTGCTTATGGTCACGTGCACCGTGTATGCCATCAAGACGCGCGGCGTGCCCGAGACCTTCAACGAGGCCAAGCCCATCGGCTTCACCATGTACACCACCTGTATTGTCTGGCTCGCTTTCATCCCCATCTTCTTTGGCACCTCGCAGTCAGCTGACAAGGTGAGTGGCCGGGGCCGGGGGCGGGGCAGGGTGGGGTGGAGTGAGGGCAGTGGGCAAGAGACAGCCTCCTGGGGCTGGCTGGCTCTCACGTGGCTCCAGAAATGCCTTCTTTCATGCCTCATTCTGCCTTCCCTCCCTGTCTCGGTGTTTTTCCAGGTTCTGGGTTTCTCTCCTCTCTCCCTCCCTCCCTCTTCTGCTGCCCTGTCTCCCTTTTCTCTCTCTGCCCCCGTCTCTCTCCTTTTGGCTCCCTTCCCGCCTCTCTCTCTGTCTCTCTCCCTCTCCCTCTCCTCTCTTTCCTGTCTCTCATTCCCTGCCTTCCTCACCCCATCTTCTTCTCCTTGCTTTCTCCTTCCCGACTTCCTCGCTCCTCCCTGTCAGCCTGGGGTGCTGCCCCTTCTTTCGTCCTTCATTCTCTTCTAGACTCTCCCTGACCTCTCTCCCTACTCAGTCCCTCTTCCTTTCTGTCTACTCCTCTCTTCCTCCTCCTCTGTCTGCCCTCCTCTCTGCCCTCACACAGGATCCCCATGGGTCCCTGAGGTGGGTGATATATCGGGTACTCACTTCCTCTCTCCCCAGCCCCAAGCTGCCCTGAAGCCCGTGAGCCAGGGGCCTGGTGATGTCAGCTGAGGGCCCTCCCTCCACTGGCTGGAGCTGCCAAGGGGCCGCCTCCTGCTGGCTCTCTTGGGCCATTCTGCCGGCCTGACCTAAGGGTCTAGACTCACCCCAAAGGCCTCTGCCCACATTACAGCCCCAGCACTGCCTGGGTTCTGGGCGGTGGGGCAGAGGCTATCTTGAAGGATTGCGAGTCACTGAAGTCAGAGGCCAGAGACAGGGAGAATCGGGGCTCCAAGGACCCCACCTCTGTGTCTAACTGTAGGATCCTGGACAGGCTAGCTGGCCTCTCTGCCTCAGTTTCTTCATCAGTAGTTTGGGGCCATGATCCTTCCCCTACGGTTCTTACACGTGTTGCAACAATCACACAGTGTGAGGGGTGTAAAAGCAGTTTACCCACTGTAAGGAGGCGGGAGCTGAGGAGTCTCAGGGTAAGTGGTGGGGACGAGGCCAGAAGAGACCCAGAGCAGAGCAGATGGCATAGGATCCAGAGGCTGTGGGAAGGATGTTGGCTTTTACTGCAAGTGAGAAGGGAGCCCTGGTGGGGTTCTGAGCAGTGAGGGATGTGTTGTGATGTGGGTTTAAAGGACCCCTCTGGCTGCCGAGTAGAGCCCTGAGGAGGGAGAGCCTGGAGTGGGATGGCCAGGGCGGAGGTTACTCTAAGTGATCCTGACAGGAGGTCACCAGCAGCGGCAGTGGTGAGCAGCAGGGGATTTGGCTGTGTCTGGAGGTGGGGCTGGTTGGATTTCTGATGGAGTGCATGTAGGGTAAGAGGTGCAGAGGAGAGTCAAGGATGACTCCACGGTTGTTGGTGTGAGTGACGGGAAGGAAGGAGGGTCTGTGCATTCGGCAGGGGAGATGACAGAGGAGCCTATGGGAGGCAGAGATCAGGAAGTCCTTTGGACGTGCTGGGTTTGGGATGCCTATGAGACATCCAAGTGCAGCTGTTGAGTCAATGGTTGACTATATGAGTCTGAGGTTCAGGGGTGAGGTCCGGGCTGTAGATGTAGTTGGGGGGTCGCCATCCTATGGGCAGCATTTAAAGCCTGAGCCTGGGGGTGAGCTCCTATGGATGGCTGGCATCAGTGAGGCTGCGGTCAAAGCTATCCTGGATGGGTGCACTTCGCCTGGTGGTCATCAGGTACCACAACAATGGGCTAGGGTAGATATCACCATTTCGGTTTACAGATGGAGACATGGAGGCACAGAGAGGTGAAATGACTTGTCTAAGGTCACACAGCCAGTAGGAGGTGCAGCTGGACTTGACCCTGCTCTTTCTAACTTGAGAGCCACACCTGAGCCCACCCCATCCCCTACAGCTCTGGGGCATCTCCCCAACTCTGGGGCCTCCTTGGGAGGTGCCCACCTCTTCTCCAAAAGCTCCTCCAGGACAGGAGCTGTGCCTTCTGCCCTGAATCCCTCGGGCCTGGCGCACAGAGGCGTGTGGCCTGTCTTCCATTGGTGGCCCTGAAAGCTGGGGGTTTTCTATAAGCAGACCTTGAGGCTGGCAGTGAGATTCCAGGCCGCCCCGCACACCTGAGCCAAAGCCACCAGCCTGTGCAGCTCACACTGTGCGCCAGGTGTCCACCCGCGCAGGCCTGCGGGAGGCCCTCCCTGCTGAGGGCAGGTGCAGGCAGAGGCCCCCATGCCTCGCAGTGCCCTGGGGCCCATGGATCCAGTAGGGGAGGCCACCCAACACCCCAGGGAGCTGGCAGCTTGAGAAATTACCCTCAACAATCCCAGGAGTCCCCTTCCCTCGCCGCCTCAGGGAGTAAAGGTACGCAGCGGGAGGCCGACAGCGTGGTAGTTCAGCCCCTTGCTCCGCCTCCCCACAATTTCCCCGGCTGCCTGCCAGCACATCGCTCCCCAGCATGGTCCCTGTCATCCTGGGTGTCAGACCCGCCCACCTCCACGTGCTGGGGGGCCCAGCCCTCCTCAGAGCACCCTTCCCCCATCTCTCCAGGCAACTCTGCCTGCCTCTGATTTCTCCCCCATTAAGGGCTCCCCTCAGCGCTGATTATGAAAAGGAGCCTCTGAGATGATCTCCTCTGAGGCCCAGAGAGGGGCAGGGAATTGCCCAGAGTTACACAGCAGGCTGGCCTACACCAGCGTGTGTTCATGAGACCCAGCTCTGCCCTTGATGGCGTCGACATGGGGTATGCCCCCCTCTTCTCTGAGCTTCTGAATGAAGCAAGGTTGGAGGAGGTGAGTTCTGAAGTCCCTCTGGTTCAGACCACCAGGCTTCTTAGAAGCTCGGGCAACCCTGGGGTTGTGTCTGTGTTGTGTGATCTCAGCTGTAAGTGGCCCCAATGAAAGGCTCCTAGGCTGAAAAACAGAATAGAACAGAATACTGTACTCAGGGCTGGCTTTCAGGGCTGGTGCAAAATGAAAATGAAGTTCCTTTGTTCAAAAATTATTTAGGATTCAAGATGGCAGTGGCAAAGCATTAAACCCAGCGTGCATGCCCATGGAAGGAACTCCGTGTCAGTGGAAGGGGCCCAGCATCCCTCAGTGGGTCGGGGCAGAGTGGGATCTGGAACCCATGCCGCTGGCCCTCACACAGGGTTGTGTCCCCAACAGGGCTCACTCTGCTCAGAGAGGGGGCCTCTACCCCATCCCACCAACACCGTATTGGCCCAGCCGTACCTACCCCCAGCAACAAGTTGGGGGTAAAGGGCCTAAGATGGATATCTGTCCTGGAAATATACCCTTATACCCAAGAATCCCCAGTGTAAAAGGAGAGACACCCCTGCCCTCAGGGAAACCCCAATCTAATGGAGGAGACACTGTCCCCAGGGGACTCCCAGTCCAATGGTGAAGACCCAGATAACAAGCCTGTTGCTTAGCCCAGATCTCCCAGATCTCCCTTGTTTTCCCCAAGGGTCTGTGGTGATACTCTGGAGCTGTCCCCTTCCACCCCTTCTGCCCTGGCCACTGGCGCCATCTCAGAAGGTGGGAGTGGTGGCCAGCACCCTCCCACGGGTTTGTCATGACCTTTCCCAGTCCGCACGCTGGGAGGCAGCACTGTGCCCATGGGAGAGAGTGTGGGTTGCGTGTGGGGACTGGGAATGACTGTCTGTGTTTTCAGAGGGGTGTGTGCTGCTCACTAGGGAAATGGCTCTCATTTTCCCGGGCCTGGGACGTTTTCTGAATGGTGGCAAATGAAGCGGCCTCTGCACGCTCCCAGCCTCCTTCTCCCCGGTGCTGTGTAAGTTTCACGTGGCTTCGCAGCCTGCGCTTGGGTAGCCTTGTGGTTCGGGTGAGGTAGGTGCTATCATCTTACCACACTGATGAGAAAACTGAGGGCCAGAGATGGGATGAGACTTTCTCAGGGTCACATACCTCTTTCCCCTCGGACCCTAGGGCTTCTCCAGCCCCTCTCTCAAAGGTAGGAAAGCCAGGGAAGGGTGGCTGGAATGGAGGCCCTCAGATCCAGGTCGTGAGGTATTTATGGAGAGGAGCAGGGGATGGAGGGGAACATGAGGACGGGAAGACGTGGCTCCTACCTTCAGAAGGCTACCAGATGAGGCTAGGGCCCCTGTGACCCCCAGAGGCAAGTCCAGACCCAGGTCCCCCACTGCTGGGCTGAGTGCAAGGAATGAATGGTGTTGTGGGGGACTGGCTAGAACTGGGGGTTAGGGAGAGCTTCCTGGAGGAGGTGGTACATCAGCTAGGCCCTGGGGGAGGCCGCCCAGGCCTGGAAATGGCAGATTGAGGGAGCAGAGCATTTCCTGTTTTCCCCATGCCCAAACCTGGGGGCCTCCACCCTGGCTGAGGTGGGCAGAGGGGGCAGCTGAGTCCTGGAGGACCAGGAGCGAGGGAGGAGGCAGGGAGGGGATCCCAGGCTGGGGCAGTGGGAATTGTCGGGCCCTGCCTGGAAGGACCCATGATTGAAGAACGGATTACCCGACACCCAGATTAATGGACTTTCATTTTGCTAAACATCTGTCACCGTTAGTGCTGGTGAGTGAGCGTGAAATGAGCTTTGACTGCACTGCCATCTCTGGCTCATGACAGGCGCTGTGGCTCCTGTGCCAACTGCCTGCTCTCACAGGGTGGCGTGGAGGGCCTGGGTGAGGGGACGTGCCATGGCCAGTGGGAGCTACTACAAGGCACACACAGATATTCCTTTCCCTCCCAGCCCTGGGCAGGGGCTGCTCCCAAGGAGGGTCAGCTGTCCCCTGAGGGTCCCTCCTCTGGGGGCCTCCACCAAACAGCACATACCAGTGGCAAACACTTCTGTGCACTCACCATGTGCCAGATATTATTTTACAAGCGTTTACCATTTATTAAGTCATTTGAAACTCATTACAGCCCTGTGTAGTAAGTATATGCCCATATTGCACCTGAGGAAACTGAGGCACAAGGATGTGACTTGTCCAGGATCACACAGAGTGATGAAGCCAGACTGAATCCAGAGATTCTGGTCCAAAGTCCCAGCTCTATATCACGCACCACTCCCTTCTGCCCAAGCCAGCGGGACACAGGGCGGGGTCCTCGGCTCTGTCTGTTTCTGGGGTGGGCCTCAGACAGGGCCCCCATGAGGCCAGGGCAGTGCCCGCCCTGACGCCGTCCCCGGCCCGCCCCCAGCTGTACATCCAGACGACGACGCTGACGGTCTCGGTGAGTCTGAGCGCCTCGGTGTCCCTGGGGATGCTCTACATGCCCAAGGTCTACATCATCCTCTTCCACCCGGAGCAGAACGTGCCCAAGCGCAAGCGCAGCCTCAAAGCTGTCGTCACCGCCGCCACCATGTCCAACAAGTTCACGCAGAAGGGCAGCTTCCGGCCCAACGGCGAGGCCAAGTCCGAGCTCTGCGAGAACCTGGAAACCCCAGGTGAGCGCTTGGCCCCGCCCCTCTCCCTCCCTGGGTGGGCCCCAGCCCCCTCTCCCTCCCTGGGTGGGCCCCACCCCTTCCTGGAGAAGGCCAACCCCCTACCCAACCCCACCCTAAGCCTGGTCCTTTGGGGGCATTGGGAGAGCCCTGAGGCCGCAGGTGAGCGACTTCCCACCCAGAGGAGCTCCAGAGAACCTTGAGGCACCAGCTTAGCCCCCTGTGCCCCATCCCATCCTGGTAGCCCGGCTCTCAGGGTCCCGCCCCACACATGCCCTCCCCAACCATAGCCTGCTTCTTCCTAGGATCTCTGCCCACCTAGGGGGAGGCCATGGGGAGCCTCATTCAGGCAGGGTGACGTGAGACCCTGGGATTTCTCTGCCTTGGCGTCCACACCTGGGCCTTTGCCCTTTCAGTCCCCTGGGGAAGGGGTTGTCCAGAGGGCCCCTGCTCTCTGGCCCTTCGGTAGCCTGGGAGTGGTGGCCCTGGTACTAGAACAGCTGAAGCCACTTGGCTTGGCTTTGCCCAGCCCCCTCTGGCAGGGCCCTGAGAGGTGGGGACTCAGAAAACGGGCACTGGGATGTGTACGTGAGGGGTATGGTGGGGAGGGCAGCCTGCAGAGTGGTGGTTCTCTAGGGTGTGTCCAAGGAGACCTCAGCTGTAGAGGGTTGTACTTTGAGAGGGATGAGGGAGGGGAAGATGCAGGGCCCTCAGCATCCGAGGGGCAGGCCCAGGGTCTAGGCCTGGACCAGACTGGTCCTTCAGAGGTTAAGAGATGTGCACAGGACAGAGCAAGGCCAGCATCTTTGCCAACCTCCCTATCCTCCCTGGAGCCAGCCCTAGGCGTGATAAGAAGGGACGGAGAGGAGAGAGGGGCAGGGCATGTGAGGGGCATGTTAGGTGTCAGGGGACCAGTAATAGCGGTGACTGTTTCTTGAACCCTGACTATTGGCCACACCTACCACATACCAGTTTTCATCTTCACAGCAACCTGGAAAGGCAGGTATTTTTAATCATTTGTAGGATATAGATGAGAAAAAGGGAGGCTCAGAAAAGTGAGGGATTTAACCAGGCCACACAGCAGCAAGGCTGGACCTGACCACTGTCCCGTCTCCTTGGACAGACTGAGGCCTCTGGTCTGGGCCAAGCCACAGCCTCCAGCCTCTGGGGTGGGCCTCCGTAGGCCTCACACCCCATCGCTCCTGGGTAGGCAGGCATCGAGGGGTTGCTGTGGTCACCCCTGCCCCACAGCAGAACTTGGCTTCTTCCCTGGACACCCTGTAAGTGCCCCAGTGATATAAATGGCAGTTCCTCCTGCCTCCCCACTCTCTGAGAGTCTTAGGGGGCTCCCATCGGTGGGGGAGGAGGAGAAGAGCCCCTCTCTCCAGGAGAGGTTCAGATCCTGGTGGTACCTGCGGGTAGCACTCTGTTTCCTCCCTCTAGCACTGGGGGAAGGGCTGGAGGTGGGCTTTGTTGATGGCACCAGAGGGACATAGGCTAGCACAGGCTCCAGAGAGAGCCCCTTTGTCACCTACCAAGAGGTCAGGAGAAACAGGAGACCTCGACTCACAGGTGTTTGGGCTGGGGTGGCATCTCTTACGGGCTCCCCGCCCGGGGACTCTGGGGGATCTTCCCTTCTCAGCATCATTCCCACCTGTAGAGAATATCAACCGTGGAAAGGAGGGAAGTCCCTTCCCAGATCCAAACAGGATTTTCCACTTCCCAGAGCTCTCTCCCCTTTGAGTGATCTTCACAGTCCTGTGAGGCCTGGATTGGGCTGTCTCCCCAGCTGAAGCCCAGAGAGGGTGAGTGACTCTCCTGAGGTCACATAGCAAGGTGGTGACTGGCTGGTCCCTCCCAAAGTCTTTCCCCTGACCCTGACTTCATATGGCCCCCCTATCTCTGGGGGCCCCATTCTCTGTGCTGAGCAGCTGACCTGGCTTCTGACATGCCCTTCCTTTGATTCATACCCCTGATGAGTCTCTGTTGGCTAAATCCTTCACCGATTGACGTCTGGTTCTCTCCAGTCCTGTTCCTCCTCCCACAGTGCTGGCTTTCCTTTTCCTACAGCCTTCAGATGCCCCGTGAGCCCTCCTCTCTGCGATGAGAAGGGCCAGTGTCCTCATGGGCCTCCCTACCTCTGACCTTTCATGTCCACCCAGATGTGCAGAAACCCCAAATGCAGCCCCTCACCAGGCCCTTCCATCCTGAGCAGGGACCCCTTGCTGCTCCCTGCACCACACTCCTGACTTCCATTTTCCTCCTTCCCACGGAGACCCACCCTTCCTGGGTCCCATCCCTCAAGGCCCTACTCTGCTAGTGCAGAGCCCTGCTCCAGGGCTCATGAGAGTCAGCTCTGGAGACCACGAGGGTCTTATTGGAGATAGCACCCTGACCCCAGAGTGGGGCGATCACGGTGCTGTGACTGGCCAGAGGGGACCACAAGGTGGGGCTGTCACAGAGAGTGCTGATGGCACCTCATTGACATTGTTGCCTCCGCCTCTGCTCAGGCTCGTCACCTGGGGGCAGGGGACAATTACTCACCCCTGCCAGATGAGGAGGGTTGTGGCCCCTGCATCCTGCAAGGGAATGGTGAGAGCTTCCCCCACACCCTCAGGAAGGACCGGAGACCAGTGCTTCTCACCCTGACTGTCAGCGCAGTGACAACAGGGGCCATGGAGGCGCCGGACGGGAGTGGGGTGATTAATTCTGGGAACAGCCAGATCGAGGGGGTGTGAGCAGGGGGAGTGGGGAGGTGTCACTCCTGTGGAGCAGGGACATTTTTCACTCTGTCACTGGCAGGCCACGTATCTTTAAACAAACAACAGAATAAATAATTCAAGGGCCCGATTGCAGGCAGATTAGGCAGAAACACAGGGCCGACAAATGGGGGCTGCCAGCTCGTGCCTGCTGCTGCCCAGCTAATTGTTATCTGAGGCAGCGGAGACTGAAAGCCCGCAGCAAGGGCCTGTCATCAGCAGGGGATGGATGGGGGCCCTCTGCCCACACCCCTTCCCGCTATGCTGTGGATACCCCTGGAGTGTCGCTATCCCCATCCTGTCCTCATCGTTGTGTCCTCAGACTTGCTCCCTTGCCCACCATTTTGCAGGGCTTAAAGAGTATTTCTATCTGCTCCATGGCCGAGAGCAGCCAAGGGTTTATTATCACCCCATTTTACAGATGAGGGAGTTGAAGCTCTGAGAGGTTCAATTTGTTAGGAAGGCCACCTGGCAGGTGCTGAGATCCCCTAAACTGGTGAGGGCAGGCCTGGACTGCAAGTGTCCAGAGTCTTGGCCAGAACTCACAGTTAACTCCTGGGGTCAGCCTCCCTGCTCCCATTTTCCAGATGGTCAGACTGAGGCCCCACTAAAGGACTCTGGGGCCCCTGGCTTACAGCTGAGGGCCGAATGTGCTTCCAGGTTCTGAAACCCACAGACTGGATTTTCTAGAGGAGGCAGCTCTGGTCTTAGAGGGAGAATAGGTACCCAGCTGTCCCTCACCTCCCTGCCACTCTCTCATCCCCCACCTGCTCTCGGTGCCCCCACTGCTGCCCTCAGTCGCCCATTTCCTGCAGTCAGTGGAGATTTTGCTGCTGCTGCCCCTGTAGAGGTTTTCCTTCACCTATGAGCCAGGAGCTGCTGACGGGTTTACAGCTTTGGAAACTCAATTTTATCAGTTCACCCAAGGGGTGATGGAGCCCTGGGGAATTGATTCTCACCAGCCTGGCCTACAGGCGCGTAATTCACAGAGCCAGCTGCTGGCTCTTTTGCTGATGGTGAGGGAGAGTGTGGGGTAGAGATGTAGGGGTGGCGGAAGCCCCTCAGGGAAAGAAGTCTAAGCAAAAAGGACCACTCCTGTCGTGTCACAGGCAGGGCAGGGAAGGAGCTGCCTGAGGTCATGGGTGGGGGTGGGGTGGGGTGGGGTGCAGGTAGAGGCCCCTGTCAGCAGAGCTGTCCTCCCTCACACCATCCACCTCCCTTTCAGCACCTTCTGCCATCCCCGGGCCCAGCCTCCAGTTGCTCAGCTTCCTTCCCAAGTGCGCCCAAGCCCAGGCCCCTCCTGGATGCTGTCCCATCAAAACCACCCCATGGATGGTCCTTCTCCCCTCTTGGTCAACCAGCATCCTAGAGGGACACGGGCCATTTTAGAAATGAAGTGGGAGTTCTTTACATAAGGGGTGTGCTCTTCTTAATATTGTCCTGGATGTCATGGGCACAATTTCCTTCCAGTAGCATCCGTCTGAGTGGCACCTAAACCTTGAAACTTCCCTGCCACTGCCCAGTGCAGTGATTGTTCATCCTCTGCTTGAACATTTCTGCTGACGGGGACTATTTCAGCTCACCTACTGCATAAGGCCACCCACTCCGCCCTCAGCTCAGGCCTGGAGAAGGTTCTTCCTTGAGCTCAGCTGCACTCTGATCCTCCTGCCTCCCCCATGGTCCCATGGTGTCCCCTTTGCTCACTCTACATACCAGCAACTTTGCTTCTTCCCACACTCAAGGGACCCCACGTCCCCCCGCCCCTTCCCGAGAGTGGGACACAGTAGTCCTGCCTGTATTTGTGGGCTTCCAGTTCTGCTGCTGTGACAAAGAAGCCCCAGGACAGAGTGGCTCACATCAGACAAATGTTTGTTCCTCTCTGATATTGTAGTACACGGTGGGTGGGTGGGAGCGGGGACCCTAGTTCCTTCCATTTTATCATTCCATCATCTCCTGGAGGGTTGTCCTGTCCTCGTGGCTGAGGCTGGTTGACTTTAGTGTCTTTTCTGCCCACAGAGGGGAGAAGAGGAAGTACAGGGGAAACAATACCTTGTAAACAAATAACATGGGAGCCGCACACAGCCCTTGACACACGTCATCAGCAGGAACGTTGTCATGCAGGGCCACGCGGGGCCGCAAGGGAGTCAGGGAAATGTGGTCCTTAACCTTGGTGATCACGAGCCCAGGGGAAACCAGGAAAGGAGGGTTGGGGTTGGTCAGCATGCAGCCCACCAAGCTGCTCCCCTCAATGTCCTTCTCCAGTCACATGCCCCTGGCGGTGCCTGGCAGGTGCACCTCCTTTTCTGAGCTGTCAGGATCCTGACGGAGTCAAGACAGTTTTAGGACAAAAGATGCTGTGATTTTCTCCCATCTGGTCTTCTCTCTTGACACCAGCAGAGCAGCCCCACCCCAGGGAGCAATTCCACCCTTGATTACTCTCATGGGGCGGTGCTCCAGGCCACCAAGGGAGACCCTCTGCCTCGTCAGAACAGGACAAAACTAGGACCTGGCTGGTGCCTCACCCCTCTGGCCTCAGTACCTCATTTTTCAAACAGGGGTGATGCTTCTTTGGCCCCTCCCTAGGCTGCTGTGTGGTGCAGACCCCAGTGGGTTGGAGGTGGGGGCACCCCTGCTGCTCAGGCAAGCTCATGTTACCTGGCTGTGGGTGGGGAAAGGAGGCTGGGGTCAGGGAATAGGAGACACCCAGACGTGCAGCCACTGGTGAACATGGGCCAGAGGGACAGGTGCAGGTATGGGAGGCTCAAGGCTGAGGCAAGACAGGACACCCAGAAATGGGAAGGGTGGCTGCACAGAGGGCTGAGGGGGTGCCTGGATGACTTCTGTTTCCCTTGGACCTGGGGAGAAGGTGGAGGCAGGCAGACACAGCAGTTCCTAGCCTCACAGGTCCCCTCTCTGGTTCCACTATTCATCTCCTCTGTCTCCATTCCCCATGCACCTCCCCTAGGCTGCTGGTCTTGTCTGTTCTTCGAGTCTTCTCTTCCAGAGTGTGTGTGTTGAACTTCTGAAAAACTCTCCCTTGATACTTTCAGGCTATGTAATTATATCCCAAATAAAAATGATTCTCTTAAAGTGGGGTGGAGTCAGGAGGCAACAGGGACTCTGGTGGGGGGAGGTGCTCACAGAGGGGTCTACCTGGAGGACAAAGTGAAGAGGGAAGGGCCCTCCAGGCACACACGGGTGGGAGCGGGCGGGGTATGCTGGGAGACCGGGTTGGGCTGGCGCATGGTCTGGGGGATGCTCAGTTCAGGAGTCTGGACTTGATGCTGTGGGCAGGGCCATCCTTGTGCGGAAGAGGGGTTGGAAGAAGCCAGGGCCTGACTCCTTGGTACCCCTGGTGTCTCTCGTTCCAGCGCTGGCCACTAAACAGACCTACGTCACCTACACCAACCATGCAATCTAGCTAGGCCACTGGAGCCGCACAGGAGGAGGAGGACGGAGACCCTCGTGGATGGTGCGTCGGGCCAGGGCCATGCCCAGGGGCCCCGCTGATGTCCTCCCTGCCCGTGGGCGCCCATGGATGTGGCTTGGTGCTGAGGACAGCAGAGCCCCCGGTGGTCACTGCTGGGCAGCCTGGGCAAGCCGGGTGGGTGACAGGAGGTGGATGAGGGGCCGAGGCCGCTTCAGGCCACCCCAAGATCCTGTGTCTTGGACCAAGGCCCCTCTCAGCCCCAAACCACAGGGGCTCAGGTTGTGGGGGCCCTAGTGCTGTCCCGTGTCCCTGCCTGTCCTATTGGTGACCTCTGTCTGTCTCGATCCCTGTCTTAATTTTCTCTTCTCTCCTCGAAGCACCTTTTCTCTCTCTGTGTCTCTATCTTCTTTCTGCCTCTGCCTTTTCTCCCTCACGCGGTCTCCACCTCCAGCGCTCCGTTGTCTTTCCACTGGTCCTCCACCCGGTCTCTCCTCTTGTGCACTTTTATTTCCCGTCCTCAGCCCTCTGCTCGTCTTCATTTAGGTCCACCGTTGCTCTCTCTCCCTGCTGTCTTTTCCTGATTCACCAAATCTTCCATGCCACAAAAGAGAAAAAAAGGAAAAAAAAATCAAACCCCCTAAAAGCCGAAACAAAAACAGATCTCGAGTGTGTTGCCAAGTGCTGCGTCCTCCTGGTGGCCTCTGTGTGTCCCCGCGGCCCGCAGCTTGCCCGCCTGCCCCCGCCCGTCTGCCGTGTGTCCTGCCCGCCTGCCCGCCTGCCCCTCCTGCCGATGACACGGAGTTCAGTGCCTGGGTGTTTGGTGATGGTTATTGATGACAATGTGTAGCGCATGATTGTTTTTATACCAAGAACATTTCTAATTAAAATAAACACATGGTTTTGCACCCTGGCTCCATATCCACTGAGGGTCCTGCAGTGGACCACGGGCTCAACCTACAGCTGGAGGGCCTGGTGTTAGAGGGAATGAGGAACTGGGTGATAGAGATCTAGGGCTGGGGGGCGGTGGGGGCTGCTCCCTGGGCCAGCATCGAGTGGGGTCTTAGAGAGGCCTTGGGCAGGGAGGGGCCAGGGCACTGTGGGAGATTCCAGAAATCAACCCCTGGGGGTCCCCTAAGTAAGGGGGATGCTCTGTCCCTGTCCTCTGTCCTGCAGCCCCTAAGGAAGATACCACTTCTGCCCTGCCTCTCCTCTGGCTCACATCTGTCACATCTGGGACCCCACCCTGCCATCCCATAATCTGGGCCCCTCCTCTCCTTCCAGCCAGGACACTTGCCTCTTGAGAAATTGCCTTCCAGGGCTCCCAGCACCCACAGGCCTCACCCCTGCCTTTCCTGTCTCCAGGTCACAGGTGCTCAGATGACGAGTGACTCCTGGAGATCAGTGTGTGGTGTGTGCCCAGGTGGGCCAGGTGCACAGCATGGGTGTGTGTGTCCCCAGCCCTGTGTGTGTGTGCTCCTGCACCTCTGTATACATACTTGTTTGTCTTATGTGAGCGTTTCTCCATTTATGCCCAAGTGGGTGTGAGTCCACATGGCACCCATGTCATGATGCCCGTCCTGGGCTGGTGGCAAGTGTGTGAGTGTGTTCACGGCAGCTGTGTGCTTCTGTGGCAGGTTGAGAGGCAGGGAGTGTGACAGCTTAGGGGCTGGGCCCTGCCAGGGGTAAATTATAGAGCCGGCGGCACAATGAGGCCACAGTCAGCAGCTGGAGCCCGGGCTGCCCGTGCTGCCCCTCCTGCCCCTTCCTGCCCACCCCCAGGACCCGCACCCCCTTCCACCTCCTCTGCTACCTGACTAGGGTGTGGGGTGCGGAGGCCAAGGGCCTGGGAGGACCTGGGCGGGGGGCAGGCAGGGAGTAGGTGTGGAAGTGTGCGTAGAGGTGAGGCTGGGGCAGTAAATCACGCCACGTGTTAGTGCTCCTCTGCTAAGTGGAGTTAAGCCCATCTACTCCTGGGGGGAGGGCTGGCCTCGCACACACCTGTGCTCAGGAATCTGCCCTCCCCAAGGCTCGTGTGTGCCTGCGTGTGCAGCACCTACTATAGGCTCAGTAAATATTTGTGTAAGGGAAGGAGAGGGGATCATCTTGCTCTTGCAGGATGGTCCCTTAGACTGCGACCTGGAATAGATCCTCCCCAGTGCCCCAGTGTAATCAGGCAAATCTAGGGTGTCAGACCAAGAGCATTTTCCACAGGCATCTGCTGTGCAGCCCAGTGGGCCAGATGAGTCAGTGTTCCAGTGGCAGAACCTTCAGATCAGCATCAGCATCCCTGGGGACTTGTTAGAAAATCAAGTTATGGGCCCGTCAGGCCTGCTGGACTGGAAGCTCTGGGGGTGGGGTCCCAAAGTCCCTTTTACAGGTCCTGCAGGTCACTTCAGTGTAAGGCCAAGTTTGAGAACAAGTGCTTAAAACTAACTGTGTGTTGAAAGGCCAATACGTGGGGTTGAAATATGTTTGGGGGAACAGGGGAAGGGTGGAGTTCAGGCCTAGGGTTACCAGGGACTGGGGGAGTTCCTGGGACGCAGGACTTTACGCAGTGGTAAAACCAGGAAAGTCCTGGAAAAACTAAACAAATCTGATAAGGCCCCTTTCCTTATTCAAGAGATATTAAGTACCTACTACAGGCCAGGTCCTGGGTGTGCAGTGATGAACCAGCCAGGTGTGGTAACAGACCTTGGGGTTTTTGTAGCCAGGAGGGAACAGTGCCACTCAGGAGCTTTCTGGGGATCAATACCCAGACTAGGTTGCTACCAGCCCTGAGCAGAAGCCCACTAAGCTGCCAGGCTGGCTGGGCACACAGGACACCTTTGTGGAACCCCCAGGACCCTGGGGACTCAGCATCAGAAGCAGTACACAAACATGGAGCTCTTCCAGCTCAGATGGGCTGGTTCTGCGTTCCCATGTCCCACGGTCGGTTTCTCACATCCTGTCTTCTCAGACCCTGGAGGCAGAGGCAAGGGGGCCAGAGAGTGGCCTGTTAACTCACGCCAGGTGCCCCGCATTACTTTAGCCTCCAGGCCCAACGAGGGGTCCTTGGGGGCCCATGTGAGGACACTGAGCCTCCAGGAGGCTGTGGGACCCCTCCCCAGCCAAAGGTCAGAGTATGGACCCTTTTTTTTTTTTGAATGTTCCCACTGGGGACTGCTGCTCCCTCCCCTGAGCCTGGGGTTTCCATGCACCCACTGAACATCCGGGGAGGCTGAGGGGCTCTCCGTGGCACAAGAGCTCCCCTCTGCCCCTGGGCCTGCCCTGCTCTGCCCTGCAGGCCTTGGCCCTGGCACTCTGAGCTTCCCAGGGCTTGGACTTCCCTGCAGACATCCTGGCACCGAATGGTACACAGTGCCAAAATCTCACTTCAGTTGGCAAAAGCAGCAATTAGCGTGTAATGAGGCTTCTTGCTTTATTTTTAGGTAACCTCCAAGGCCCTGCCTGTGTAATTCAGCCCGCCATTGCTCGGCAGATAATTAAAGCATGTCACCATAATTTGCCTTTTTTTTTCTTATAAAGCCCGTAATTATGTTTTTATTGTGAGTGAGTGGGGGAAAAGAGGAAGGAAAGAAAACAAAGAGAGATGGAGCTGGGGCAGGAAATGGGGCTTGGCTCCCCCGGCCAGGATCCTCCACCCCATTGGCAGAACCAGGAGCCCCGCTCTGGGCGCACGGCCCCAGAGGCCCCCTCAGCTCAGGTCTGCCCAGCCGGCTTCCTGCCCAAGACTCCCTCCTTGCTGGCTTTCCTTGCCCGCCCTTCTGGAGTCCTCCTCTTCCAGGTTTGGTTTGGGGGGGTGGCTTCCAGTTCTTCCCCCCTTTCCTTATAAAACCAGCCCCAGTATTCCAGAAAACCAGAAGATTCCAGTGGGCAGGAAGAGGGTGGGGCTGAAACCTGAGTGGCCACGAGGTGATCCTTGAGCTGCTCACAGGCACCGGGGAGTTCTTGCTACAGGTGTTTGACATTTTCCATAATCAATCAGTAAAACTCCCTCTAGCAGGAAGGGCCTGCTAACTGAGCCTGGCACCTGGTATCTGCTCTCAGGAGCTCTTGTGACTTGCTGTTCTTTCTGACTGAGTTCTTTATGCACCCGGAATTGCATTTCAGTCATTATTTTGGTGCTGGTGAGTGGTGGTGGGAGAGCCTTTCTGGGCGTCTGAAATCAGACTCTTTAAGCCTGCAGGGCATGCTGGGAACAGGCAGGGCAGCTGCCCACACCGTTTCAGGGAGGCCACTGCCCCCAAACATCTTCCTACCTGCCACCTACGTCTCCGAAAATTCTATCGCTGAAGCCCCAGGCTTCTGGGTCAAGGCATATTCTTCCAAAACATGTCAATGGTTGGCAACTGAACTGTACTGGAGTCAGGTTTCAAGACACCAGCTGACCTGAAGGTGTGGAACGGGGAAGAGGTAAGTTTTAAAAGAACTGGTTTTGAAAGAGCTTCCAGATTACCTTAACACAAGTAGCGCAGTCTCCCCTCAACTTTCGGGAGACCACCTCACCCCATATTCTGTTCATATGGTTTGTTTATTACCTTCAACCACCCACCAGTATGTCAGCCCCACCAGGGCAGGGGTTTTTGTCAGTTTGATCACAGCTGAATGTAGAACAGTATCTGGCACACTGGAGGCATACAATAATTATTTGTTGAATGAGTGAATTAGGGGAAAGGGGTTGGCTGGAGACCTTGGAGGACCTAGTTAGCTGTATCCCCACCTCCACAACGCTACTCCCACCCCCCAGAGCTCAGCTCCATTGCTGAGCCTCTGCCCAAAGTCCGATGGGTCATTTCTTCATTGTAGCTTCCCAAAGTTTTTCTAGAGGCCCAAGGGGAGCACAGGTGTTGCATTCTGGTCACTGGATAGAGAACTGACCCCCACCTGCCCCCTCACCCCCACACCAGGATGACAGGCAGGCTGAAGTTGGTATCGGGAGATCTGGATTCTAGGTAAGTGTCTGCTGCTAACTTGATGCGTGTCATCGGGCAAGTTGCCTGCCCTCTCTGGGCCTCAGTTTCTTCATCCATAAGATGAGCTATGAACTCTGAGCCCTCAGAGCCTGGATGAGCAGCCAGCAGCAGCAGTACGGAAAGGGGAGGTGACTGCAAAGAAGAGTCTTTGGGGGCCAGTTGCTATGGCAACTGCACACACTAAGGGGTGGGGGAGTGGCTGGAGTATGCAAATCAGGCCCTTCCTTTGGCTTCCTCAGCGCTAGTTCTCTGTGATGAGAAGAAGGGGCTTTGTTAATGTTGTGGGGCAATGGAAGAGGATGGAGAAATGGCGGGGGCTGCCTTACCCTTCAGGACAGTGTTCCCTCTTCTTCTCCTCTGCCCTCCCTGCCTCCCCTCCTCTGGGGTTTTGGGC